CTTGGAAGGATTTTGCTGTAGCCGCTACCTGTAAGGCCGAAATCCGCAACTCTGATATCAACCCCTTCACAAACCAGTGAATCCTCTCTTGTGGACTGAAACAAACTTGCGTGGCATAACTGGATAGTGCGCGAAACCTAGCCTCGTAAGCATTAACTGACATCCTACCTTGCTCTAGGCTCAAGAACTCATCCCTTTTCCTATCCCTCAAAGTCCAAGGGATATACTTCTCCATAAACAAGCTAGAGAATGAGGCCCAAGTCATAGGTGGTGCCTCTGTCGGTTGACACTCAACATGTGATCGCCACCACATTTTGCCATTCCCTTGAAACTAATAACTCACGAACTCAACACCAAACCGTTCTACTATACCCATCTTGTGTAGTAGGTCATGACAGTCAACCAGAAAATCATAAGCATCCTCCGATTCACCACCCTTGAAGACTGGAGGTTTCAATTTCAAGAACTTACTGAAAAGTTCATGCTGATCATTTGTCATTACAGGCCCTGTAGTCAGACGAGGAAATGTGTTTATTTCCAATGGAACATCCATGCGGGGAGCCATATTAGCCGCATGTTGTACCTCCGAAGCCTGAGGTGCTGGTGCAGAAAACACTGGGGTGTCTGGCCCTGATCAGATAACCCGCTAAGATAAGCCAAAACCTGATTGATCATCTCTGGGGTAGGTTGGGGTGGCATTTCCTCATTATGCACTTGCTCATTCTCCCCATCCTCCCCTTCTCTTACTACTTCTTCAGTCGGTGGAGGAGTCACCGCCCTAGTATCAGATGGGTTAGGTGCTCGTCCTCTTCCTCTAGAGGACGTCCTCCCACGACCTCTACCACGACCTATTGCCGTTGCTCTTCCTCGAGCCACAGCCCCAGTGGCTGGCTCAGACGCACCCTGTCCTGCTGGTGCGGGTGTTGGTGTTGGCGTAGTAATTGCTCTAGTTCTAACCATCTGCGAAAAAGAGTGAAGATGGTCAGATACCAATTTGTATCACCTAGATACCAATTGGATTCAAGTAGTAGCACGAAAGAAAGAAAAAAAGAATGGAATTTTCCTAAAGTCCTATAGCCTCTCAAAGAAAAGTAAAGGCGTCCCCCTACTGTTCCTCAAGACTCTACTAGACTCGTTCTTGTGTGATGAGACCAACGAACCTAATGCTTTGATACCAAGTTTGTCACGACCCAAAACCGGGCCGCGACTGGAACCCACACTTACCCTCCTATGTGAGCGAACCAACCAATCTAAACTCTAACAAATCAATATAATATCAACAGAAAGTAATGCGGAAGAGTTAAACTCATAAATAAAATCAATAACTATTATTATCCCCAAAATCTAGAAGTCATCACCACAAAAACATCTACGATCAAATGACTTAATCTAAGAGTATTCTAAAAGCAAAAAAAATACATAAGAAGATAGTCCATGCCGAAGTTCAAGGCATCAAGACATGAAAAAGAAGATCCAGTCCAAGCTAGAAGCATTAGCTCACCCTGAATTTCCAATGTAGTAAGACTGGCTTTAATTACAGTTGAGTCGAAGATGACGGCACGTTTGCTGCACTCCACAAATAAACAAGAAGAAAACATAAAAGTAGGGGACAGTACAAAACACGAGTACTGAGTAGATATCATCGGCAAACTCAAAAAAGAAAACAGTATATATTAAGCAATATCATAAAATCAACTAATATCCTTAGCATGTAGCATTTACAGTTACCATAACCCTTGGTTACAACACCAAGCACATCAATGAGGACTCACACCTCCTCATCATACTCATTTGGGAATTCAGTTCATTAGATTTAATATATTAACATTTTTCAAGATTCATTATCTTTATTCCCCTCGTGTCGGTACGTGACACCCTGCTCCTCAATATACTATCCTGGTGTCAGAACGTGACACTCCGATCCTAATTTTATCCTAGTGTCGGAACGTGACACTCCGATCCTTATTCTATCCTGGTGTCGGAACGTGACCCCCAATCCATATATTCTATCCTGGTAGCGGAATGTGGCACCCGATCCATATACTATCCTGGTGTCGAAACGTGACACTCCGATCCTCATTCTATCCAGGTGTCGGAACGTGACACCCGATCCATATATTTTATCCTGGTACCGGAACGTGGCACCTAATCCATATACTATTCTGGTATCGGAACGTGACACTCTGATCCTCATATACTATCCTGGTACCGGAACGTGGCACCCGATCCCCTAATCTCACTACTTTCGTTCATCAAGCCTTCTTTTATACCAAGGCATCATCATTAACAAAGTAGATTAGGGTTTCTGTTCAAAATTTGAGATTCAATAGCTTCATCATGCTTATTTATTCATAATAACATAATCACATCATTCATGCAAGCATACAATTAAGCATATAGAAGGGTTTACAATACTACTAACACATATCATTCGCTATTAAGAGTTTACTACGAATAGCATGAAAACCATAACCCACCTCCACCGAAGATTAGTGATCAAGCAAGCAAATTCCAAAAGCTTTGTGTTTTCCTCTTCGTTTCTCCTCTCTCGATCGATCCTCTCTCTCTCTCTTTGTTCTTTTTATTTTTTTATTCAAACCCTCTTTCTTTTACCCTAATTAGCATATAATTAAGAATAAAAGATGGCAATAATAACCCACTAATTAACTTAAGGTTACCTCTTTTAACCCCCAAGTAATTAGACTTATTAGAATTAACCCACTAACTTTATAATTAAAGCATGAATAGTCAAAAACGTCCCTTAAAACGTACAAAGAAATCCGACCCAGACTGGGATTACGCAACCTGCGACGGCCCGTCATGCCTGCGACGGTCCGTCCTGCAGGTCGTCGCAAGGGTCAGAGACTCAATTTCCACTGAAGAATCTGTGACGGTCCGTCACGCCTGTGACGGTCCGTCACGCCTGTGACGGTCCATCACGCCTGTGACGGTCCGTCCTGCCATTCCGTTACGAAGTTCAGAGGGTCGATTTTCAGTATCCAATTTCAGATTTTCTAAGTGTTTTGAAACGAGACCCTGCGACGGTCCGTCGTGCCTATGACGGTCCATCGTGGGGTCCGTCGCTTCTGCCAGTTTTTCAAGAATTGAAGTCTGCTATTCCAAACGACTAAACAGGTCGTTACAATTATATTGGAAAATTTCAGGAATAGAGTTAACACCAGGAAGTAAGGTATTCACAGAAAGATGTAAAAATCAATATATATGAACAACAAAACATAAAATAACAGCAAGAAATAAAATTGATAAAATAAAAATAGAAAATCCTTTGAAAAATAATTGTTGTAATAGATAATAATGACCAAATACAAGCACATTAAATATGTTAACTAGCGCTACCTCATCAAGGATGAGTACATCTAAAAGAAAATATGAAATACCACAAAATTTATTAGAAGAAACAACACCATATCATTATTTTATAACTAGAATAATGGACAAGAGAAAATATAAAATCCTGATAAACACAGGACAAGAAGAAAATCATATAACAAGAGAATTAGTATTAGAAGAAGAAATTATGAAAACAGGACACATATGCCCTGGATTACCTAGCAAAATAGTAAATACAAATGAAGAAACAACAGAAAAAGAAATAAATATAGGAGGAATTCCATTAAGAATACAATTTAAGATATATAAAGGAAACCATAATATCACGTTAGGAATAAAATGGTTAGAAAAAGTTAAACCATACAACATAAAAAATGAACAATTAACAATAACTTGTCAAAATAAGAGAATAATTATAAAAAGAAAAAAATGATTAATAAAAATAATTATACTTGCAAAAATATTGTAGAAAGATATCACAACAGATATTATACTTCTATGATAGATACAGGAGCAGAAGCGAATATATGTAAATATAATTGCTTACAATAAGATAAATGGGAAAAATTAAAAACACCTATGGTAGTAACAGGATTTAATAACGAAAGAAGTATGATTAAATATAAAGCAAAAAATATAAAAATACAAATATGGGAAAAAATAGTAACAATAGAAGAAATATATAATTTTGAATTCACAACAAAAGATATGTTGCTAGGAATGTCATTTCTAGACAAATTTTACCCACATATATAACAAAAACACACTGGTGGCTTACTACGCCATGCGGCTATAACATAGGAGCAAAAAGAGTAAAAAATAAACAACAAAAACCTATAGAATGGATTAAAGGTAGTGAAAAATAAACCAAGAAATGGAAAATATAAATGAAAACCAAATATCACAATTCGAAATCATTATATTTACCATAGACAAAGTTAAAATAATTAATGAACAACTAGAACAATTATATAATGAAGATCCACTACAAGGATGGGAAAAACATAAAACAAAAATAAAAATCGAATTAATAGATGAAAATAGTATAATAACACAAAAACCATTAAAATACAACTTTGATGATTTGCAAGAATTTAAAATACATATAAATGAATTACTAGAAAAAAATTATATACAAGAAAGTAATAGTAAACATACAAGCCCAGCATTTATAGTTATAAAACACAGTGAACAAAAAAGAGGCAAAAGTAGAATGGTTGTAGACTACAGAAATTTAAATGCCAAAACTAAAAGATATAACTATCCAATACCTAATAAAATACTTAAAATAAGACAAATACAAGGATACAACTATTTTAGCAAATTTGACTGTAAATCATGATTTTACCATCTAAAACTAGAAGAAGAATCTAAACAATTGACAGCATTCACAGTACCGCAAGGATTCTATGAATGGAAATGTATTACCATTTGGATATAAAAATGCACCAGGTAGATACCAACATTTTATCGATAACTGTTTTAACCAGTTAGAAAATTGTGTTGTATATATAGATGATATATTACTATATTCTAAAACACAAGATGAACATATAAGATTATTAGAAAAATTTATACATATAATAAAACATTCAGGTATAAGTGTAAGTAAAAGTAAATCAGAAATTATGAAACCACAGATAGAATTTCTAGGAATACAAATAGATAAAAATGGAATAAAAATGCAAACTCATATAGTACAAAAAAAATTACTATTGATGAAAATATAGATACAAAAAAGAAATTACAATCATTTTTAGGATTAGTAAACCAAGTAAGAGAATACATACCAAAACTAGCAGAACAGTTAAAATCACTATACAAAAAACTCTAAAAAGATGTTGAATGTCATTTTGACAACAAAGACAAAGAACACATAAAAAATATCAAAAAATTGCGCAAGAAATTACCAAAACTATATTTTCTTGATGAAAGTAAAACATTTACATATATAATTGAAACAGATTCAAGTGATCACAGTTATGGAGGAGTACTAAAATATAAATATAAAAAAGAAAAGATAGAACACCATTGCAGGTATTACTTAGGATCATATACTGAAGCACAAGCAAAATGGGAAATAAATAGAAAAGAATTATTTGCATTATATAAATGTTTGTTAGCATTTGAATCATATATAGTTTATAATAAATTTATTGTAAGAACAGATAACACACAGGTAAAGTGGTGGATAACCAAAAAGATATTTGATTCAGTTACAACAAAAGAAATAAGAAGATTGATATTAAATATATTGAATTTTACATTTACAATTGAGATTATTAAAAATGACGAGAATCTCATTGAGGACTACCTCTCAAGAGAAAGATCCAATGAAAAACTTATTAGCTATAATGATAAAACTATGCCAAAAAATAGAAAAGATAGAAGCAAATGTACAAGATCTGAAAGGAAAAACTAACAGTCAGCAGCATGACTATAAAAATGCGGAGCTACGTCGTTCGGCGGACGCTAAACGGCCAGAACTAGAAGGAGACGATGGGAAACTCCAAAAAACCCATAACAAAGTTTGTTTAAATACAGCTGCAGGTACGAGCAAAAAAGATAGTGAGAAACCAAAAAATACAAATTTAAACCAACTATTCATAAAACTGTTTATCCAAAAACCACAAGTACAGATACCCGTGGAACCACAAACATCCATATATGTAGTTAGCCTTCAGAATGACAAAAAGAGATACAACTACATTACGCAGTCCTACATCAAAAACATATACAAAATCAAGACATATTTAAACTTGAACCCAAGATCTACGCAAACAAAAAAGCCCAAAGAAGACTATATAACCCAGAAATTACAGGGATATAACAAACGTATAGCACAACCTAAAACCAGTCAAAATTTAGTTAAAACATGTTATAGCTATGGACTACTAAATACAGTATATACATATACCGGAGAAGAAATAATTGGAATACCGGAATTACATCAAGCATTTGTGACATATAAGAGAATTACTAAAGGAAACCTATTTTATATAAAATTCTATACAGCACCAGCTGAGATATTATACGAGGAGATAAAGTCGCCAATACAAGTTGTAAAGATAGGCCTGACCAGAGATATGATTATACCAGAAGAGATCGAGAAACAAATCGAGATACCAAAGATAGAAATACCAAACTTTTATGCGAATAAAAGAATAATTGGAATAGCAACAATTATACAAGAGTTAGCCAATAATTGCTTAAATGGCAATGCTATTTGGAGTTATTATGCACGAGATCAAGTAATGATTTATTGGAACTCCAAAGAGCTAAGGAAATCAAATAAGGATGAAGTACAGCGATGGATTTTGTCATTACTAAAGCAAGAGGAGCAACCAACTACAAGAGCCTTGAAGAAGGAATTTATTTCAGATGAGTTATTAGTAAGATATTGTAAACTTATGAGCAACAAATACCGAGATCATAGATGCTCCAAGTGTAACGGAGAAGATAACGTAATACAAGCAGTTGATTTGGGATAATGACAAAAGAAATAAAGCAAGCTACATCAAAGAAGATTCATACAAAAAAAAGGGGAGAGATAGATATCTGTGTATAAAGTAAAAGTATTTTGTTTTTAGTGTCTATCGTTTTGTGTCGGCTGAATATCAGCCATATGTAAAATAAAAGTATGTCGGCCAATAATAAAAAATAGACCATTAGTAACAGTAAGTTTTTTTTTGTTTTTTGTGTTGGCCAAATGTAAAAAGTCCAAGTGTTATAGATGATATATTACTATATTCTAAAATACAAGATAAACATATAAGATTATTAGAAAAATTTATACATATATTTAATCATTAAGGTATATGTTTAAGTAAAAGTAAAGCAGAAATTATGAAACCACAGATAAAGTTTCTAGGAATACAAGTAGATAAAAATGGAATAAAAATTCAAACTCATATAGTACAAAAAATAATTACTATTGATGAAAATATAGATTCAAAAAAGAAATTACAATCATTTTTAGGATTAGTAAACCAAGTAAGATAATACATACAAAAACTAGCAGAACAGTTAAAACCACTATATAAAAAACATAAAAAAGATGTTGAATATCATTTTGACAACAAAGACAAAGAACACATAAAAAATATCAAAAAATTGTGCAAGAAATTACCAAAACTATATTTTCCTGATGAAAGTAAAACATTTACATATATAATTGAAACAGATTCAAGTGATCACAGTTATGGAGGAGTACTAAAATATAAATATAACAAAGAAAAGGTAGAACACCATTGCAGGTATTGCTCAGGATCATATACTGAAGCACAAGCAAAATGGGAAATAAATAGAAAAGAATTATTTGTATTATATAAATGTTTGTTAGCATTTGAACCATATATAGTTTACAATAAATTTATTGTAAGAACAGATAACATACAAGTAAAGTAGTGGATAACCTAAAAGATAGATGATTCAGTTACAACAAAAGAAATAAGAAGATTGATATTAAATATATTGAATTTTACATTTACAATTGAGATTATTAAAACTGACGAGAATCTCATTGCAGACTACCTTTCAAGAGAAAGATACAATGAAAGACCTATTGGCCATAATGACAAATCTATGCCAAAAAATAGAAAAAGTGGAAGCAGATAGACAAGATCTGAAAGGAAAAACTAACAGTCAGCAACATGACTATAAACATGCGGAGCTACGTCGTTCGGCGGACGGTAAACGGCAAGAACTAGAAGGAGACGATGGGAAACTCCAAAAAACCCGTAACAAAGTTTGTTTAAATACAGCTGCAGGTACGAGCAAAAAAGATAGTGAGAAACCAAAAAATACAAATTTAAACCAACTATTCATAAAACCATTTATCCAAAAACCACAAGTACAGATACCCATGGAACCACAAACATCCACATATGCAGTTAGTCTACAGAAGGACAAAAAGAGATACAACTACATTACGCAGTCCTACATCGAAAACATATACAAAATCCAGACATATTTAAACTTGAACCCAAGATCTACGCAAACAAAAAACTCCGAAGAAGACAATATAACCCGAAGTTAGAGGGATATAACAAACTTATAGCACAACCTAAAACCAGTCAAAATTTAGTTAAAACATGTTATAGCTATGGACTACTAAATACAGTATATACATATACCAGAAAAGAAATAATTGGAATACCGGAATTACATAAAACATTTAAGACATATAAGAGAATTACTAAAGGAAACCTATTTTATATAAAATTCTATACAACACCAGCTGAGATATTATACGAGGAGATAAAGTCGCCAATACAAGTTGTAAAGATAGGCCTGACCAGAGATATGATTATACCAGAAGAGATAGAGAAACTAATCGAGATACCAAAGATAGAAATACCAAATTTTTTGCGAATAAAAGAATAATTGGAATAGCAACAATCATACAAGAGTTAGCCAATAATTATTTAAATGGCAATGCTATTTGGAGTTATTATGCACTAGATCAAGTAATGATTTAGTCGAACTCCAAAGATCTAAGGAAATTAGATATGGATGAAGTCCAGCGATGGATTTTGTCATTACTAAAGCCAGAGGAGCAACCAACTGCAAGAGCCTTGAAGAAGGAATTTTTTTCAGAAGAGTTATTAGTAAGATATTGTAAACTTATCAGCAACAAATACCCAGATCATAGATGCTCCAAGTGTAACGGAGAAGATAACGTAATACTAGCAGCTGATTTGGGATAATGACAAAAGAAATAAAGCAAGCTACATCAAAGAAGATTCAAACAAAAAAAGGGGGAGAGATAGATATCTGTGTATAAAGTAAAAGTATTTTGTTTTTAGTGTCTATCGTTTTGTGTCGGCTGAATATCAGCTATATGTAAAATAAAAGTATGTCGGCCAATAACAAAAAATAGGCCATTAGTAATAGTAAGTTTTTTTTTTGTTTTTTGTGTCGGCCAAATGTAAAAAGGCCAAGTGTAAAGTAAGTGTCGGCCATTTTGGCCAAAGGTGTAAAGTTTTGGTGTATAAATAGAGGGTTTTCCCTCAAAATAAAATCACCCCCCTTTCAAATACATCTCTCTCACTCTGAATAATTTTAATTCTACTTCCACCCTACATTGGTATCAGAGCTAGCTAACTAATTAAACTATTTACTATGGAAAAAACTGAAGATACGAATCTACAAAATCAGGTATACACTCTTAAATTTATGAGTAGCTAAATAAATTTATTCCTGAAAATCTTTTGTTGATTATAATTATTTATCATTACTTAATAATGTTATAATAAGCATATTTAGAAGGTTTGCTACTGAAATGTTCTTAAAATAAGTATGCCCAGCCTATTCCATCTTAAAGTTGAAACCGGTAGGCAAGAAGGCCGTTTAGGGGAGTAAACAAAGTTGAGGCGCTGTTAGGGTAACTAGTCAAAGAAGAAAGTTGTAGTAGTGGCTAGACTAGATGATCATTAAATCATTATAATTTCATAATAAATAAGTATAATCCATTAAGAGGTTGGAAAGAATAAAAACTTTTAGCAAAAATGAATAAAATGACTAACTATTTAATAGATGATGATGATAATTATAAGATATTACTACCCTATATACTAAAAAATCTGAGTACTAATATAAAAAGAGAAATTTATGACAAATTGGTAACATATGTAATAATAGAAATAACAACTCATGGTTGGACTTAGTTAACCATACAAAGTGTACAAGATGAACTTTATTATGATTTATATGATTTATATGATGATATAGATATAGACTAATGATAAATTACGAATATTTACAATATTGGGTAAAAACTATAGAAGACATAGATCTGCTTGAAAAATTACTTACAGAAAATCTATTCGATTATTTAAGAACTCGAGAAGTTGAACATCTATAATATATTATAAACAATGCTAATGAAATACAACGGTTAGATCTACTTAAAAGGGAATATTATAGGAAAACATTTTATGAAGAATAATACAACACCAAGAAAAGAAACTAAAATAACAAAAACCAAGATAGATAAAAAGGTACGAAAAATATGGAAAAAATGTCACGGCCCATATCGCGTCGCGACTGGCACCCCCACTTACCCTCCTATGTGAGCGAACCAACCAATCTAACCCCAAACGTTCTAACCCCAATCATTTACCAATAATAACAGAAAATGAAAAAGACTTAAACTCATTAATGAAAATCAATTAAATAACTTCTAAAAACTCAACAACTATTATTATCCCCAAAATCTTGAAGTCATTATCACAAGAACATCTATCCTCAAATTACTAATCTAAGAGTATCGAAGAAGCTAAAATAAGTAAAAAGCTACTCCATGAGGGAAGTTCAAGGCATCAAGACATGAAGAGGAAGATCTAGTCCAAGCTAGAAGCATTAGCTCACCCTGAAATCTGGTGTAATTAAGACTGGCTAGAGTTGCGGTTGAGTTGAAGATGACGGAACGTTTGTTGCACTCCACAAATAATTAAAAAGAAAACATACAAGTAGGGGTCAGTACAAAACACAGGTACTGAGTAGATATCATCGGCCAACTCAAAATACAAAACAGTATATATCAGATAATATCATAAAATCAACTACAATACTCAACATACGGCATTTACAATTACCATAACCCTTGGTCACAACACCAAGCTCATCAATGAGGACTCACGCCTCCCCATCATACTCATCTGGGAATTAGGTTCATTAAATTGAGTATATTGACATATTTCAAGATTCATTCTCTTTACTAATCCTTGTGTCGGAACGTGACACCCGATCCACATATACTATCCTGGTACCGGAACGTGGCAGTGGCACCCGATCCATATTCTATCCTGGTGTCGGAATGTGACACTCTTATCCTCATATACTATCCTGGTACCGAAACGTGGCACCAGATCCATATTCTG